TCTATAGGAATGATGGAATTTAACGTTGCGGTTTGCCTTCGCGTTCAGTTGTTTGTTCACGTTATTTCCATTGCTCGATCGCTCCATCCCTCGATCGACCAAGTGGAAAGCTACGTAACGCGATGGCTCTGAGAATCTCTCGGATATTGAGTTACCCTTCGGTCCAAGTTATTATTGTTGGAAATTCCTTGATGTCGTCTCGCGCGCGGTTACTGTAGCTAATTGCGTCGATCGTTGATATTTAGATTTCTCAACTTTGATAGTTAGGCGCGTCCGTTGTATGTATTCTGAGAGAAAAAAATGTTTATTTAACTAAAATTATAGTTATTTTTTTATCTATATTTTTTGGTTGTTCTAATACAAAAATAAAGTAATAACATGCATATAAGGTTATATCAACACAACGTTATAGTAGAATTCAACAAAAAAATAGTTTTCTTGACTATAAATTATAGTAAATAAATTATAATAAATAAACATTTTTTTTTCAATGTAAAATGATAAGATCCACATAGATTAAAGCATTAAAAATATTGATATTTTCTTTATATATACAAGGTCTGGAAAGTATCCAACCTACGCCAATATTTTTGTACTTAGGTTTGCTATTATAGAAAATGAGTACTTGCCATTTAGATGGAATCTTTGCGAGTGTCTCTGTCAAGCAGCGAGGTTCTGCAGCTTTTTGATCGACAATAGTACACAGTTGTGTAAGTGTCCAAAACCGAACGCGTCGAGCAACTTGTATAAAAGTTTGTTAAAAATATGGTCATTTGTGTTAATATGATTTGTAAGGTATATCGGAATGAATCTATGAGTGAAACATAAATCAAGGAATGGTTTAGACGATCGAAAAAAGCATGTCAAAGTTGGAACAATGTAAAAACAATACTCACTGTTTTTTTCAACTACAAAAGTATTGTTCACTATGAATACGCTCCATAAAGTCAGACGATGAACAAAGAGTACTATCTACAGTTTTGAAAAAAGGAGGAAACTACAAGAGAAGGAAACGATCTTATTTGTGGAAAAGTTACTAGTTGCTTCATCACGATAACATACTATTTATCTCACATTATTTAGAATTTTTTTACGAAATACGGCATATTTTAAATGCGTCAGCTGTACTATATATCTGTATCTAGCTGTATGACTTCTAAATTTTTTAAATAAAAAAAAATCTCTAAAGAAAAGAGATTTGACGATGTGGAAAACATAAAATAGAATATGACAAGGCAGTTCTCTAGTAGAAATCTATGCAGTTTTACTAAACACTTAATCAGTTACTGTTTAATATTACCCTTATAGAAATATCATACTAAAAAATACTGAAAAATTATTAGTGATTAAATATTACCAGTAATTCTATTAATTTTTTGGCCAGTACTTAATTTCTGATGAATACTGATAATAAAATCACTGTTAAATATTGATAGTAATCAAATACTGAGAATTATTATGCGAAGGTGAAAAATGAGAAAATCATAATGTTTACACAAATATACTTATATTCCTAATTTACTCATGTCTCATAAACTACTAGATATCGAAGGTTGTCAAACACATTCCAAACTTTCGTGAATCCTCCTGCGATAATTTTGATCCCAAGCGGTATAACCACCGGTCAATCCATATCCTGACTCCGTTAAAGTGTTGCTTAACCTGACGATCGAGCGGCACGCGTCGATTCCTAATGACTCCAACGATATTCTTACGATTAATGCATATATAATGTATCCTTACTTTAAAAAATAATATTTCATTTAAGAGTATAATATTTTAATGAAACAAAAAAATCACAAAATTAAACAAGTACGAACATTAAATCTAAAGAATGTGTTTCCTCCGAAAAGCTGTATAAAATGTATAAGAAATATGCAGGGTTGAGAAGTAACGCATTACTTGTAACGACGTTACTATTTCGTTACTTTTTTTTTGATAACGATTTGGTAACACCGTTACTTTTTTGTATCAATAACGAAAAAGTAACGGCGTTACCAAATCGTTATCAAAAAAAAAAGTAACGAAATAATAACGTCGTTACAAGTAACGCGTTACTTGTAACGACGTTACTATTTCGTTACTTTTTTTTTTGATAACGATTTGGTAACACCGTTACTTTTTTGTATCAATAACGAAAAAGTAACGGCGTTACATTTTCTTTAGTAACGAATAACGAAATTTATCGTTACTTATATCGTTACTTTTTTACTATAGTGGCTTCTGTATACAGAACGCGGCAACGCTTGCCACGCGACGAAAGTTTGCACACGATAAACAATTAATGTGCTGCTTTCCGTAAAGCCCATTCTACAATAAGCAATAAATCTTAAGTCATGATAAAATTGACCAATCATAGTCGACTATTAGAAGAATGATCCACTGTAATTGGTCAATTTTATTGCGACTTAAAACTTATTGCTTATTGTACAAAGTCTCTGAAGCGTTGTCTACAATGAGAACTTAAGCCATAAAATTAAAGCTTTAAGTTCTAACCCGTAAGAAATTATTTTTCTTATAATTGACTGTGATTGGTCAACTTCTTACGGCTTAGGACTTAAAGCTTAAATTTTATAACTTAAGTTCTCATTCCCTTATAGAAATATCATACTAAGAATCATTGATAATTACTTATTATCCAGTATTTTTAATACTGAAAATAAGTAATTATCAATGATTCTTAGAATGATATTTCTATAAGGTTATAGACCACGTTTAAGAGACGCCGCACACGAATTGACATAACAGTAATGTAAGACGTACCGTAAGAATTGACCAATCACTTTGAGTATTGTCGAACCGTAAAGTCGCCATTTTTGTGAATACTTGATTGTAATTGATCCGTTTTTACGGTACGTCTTACGTTACTGTTATGTCAATTCGTGTACGGCGCCCCTAAAGCCCATTCTACATTAGTCGCAATCGCAAGATCGCAAAGAAATTGACCAAATCATAATTGATTATTCTTCGATCGCAAAAAGAACAATCGACTATGATTAGTCAATTTCTTCGCGACTTTGCGATTTGCGACTAATGTAGAATGGGCTTTATGTCGTTATGCAAGAATGTATGCTTCCCGCTTAAATATCTTCCCGCTTAAATGTCTTTATATATGTATAATTTATGTACTGTCTCTTTTACTATTCGTTTTATAAGCCGATTTTAACTTTCTTTTTACAAAAGTAACGGAAAGTAACGATTTTTTATCGTTACTTTTCAAATAACGGTAACGCGTTACTTTTCAGTAACGAGTAACGGTAACGGTAATTACTTTTTACTGCAAGTAACGGTAACGGTAACGCGTTACTTTTAAAAAGTAACGTTCCCAACTCTGGAAATATGCAATAAGAATAAATTTTATTATTAATGACTGCCACTAACAAGTACTATTGTAAGTACTATTCTATAAGTACTATTGATGTGAAACACTACTGAATTTGAAATACAAGTAACAAAAATAACTAGTAAATAAATAAAATATATTATATTCGTAATATTTTTTTAAATATTACTGCAATATTGCTAAAGTAATATTGCAAATTAATGTCACTGCAAAGTCTCTGCAACATTGCACTGCAATATGCAATCTTACAACGTTGTAGCAATGTTGCTGAAAGCTTTCGTGCTGTATGGGCATTGCTGAGATTCTAACCTGAGACCTCTGGTTTTTGAGTTGTTCACCTTATCTACTGTACCACTGTTATTTTGACTGACAAGGAACATTCGCGAAGTATGTGTCTCCGATTTCGATGAAACTTGGCATATTTATAGAGTGACCAAAAATAAGAGACCCATATTTTTTTATCGGCAATGATGCAGGTTTAAGGAATGAAACTACTCAAAATTTCATGCTTTTTTTACTATCCCTGTAACTATTGGAGATAGAAAAAAAACTTTTTAGAAAAAGTTATGTAGTTTTTTATAAAAAAATAAAATGGACTAAAAGTTTTTTTTCTGTCTCCAATAGTATAAAAAATAAAATGAGCTAAAAGTTTTTTTCTATCTCCAATAGTTACAAAGATAGCAAAAAGGGCATGAAACTTTGAGGGATAGTTTCACCCTTTAAACTTGAGCCATTGCCAATAAAAAAATATGGGTCATTATTTTTGGCATTCTATAAATATGCCAAGTTTCATCGAAATCGGACACACACTTCGCGAATGTTCCTTGTGAGAGACGTTTTATATTGTATACATATGATATATCCGAAAACATATGATTTATTTAAAAGAAGAGAATAGATTCTTTTAAATGTAAAAAGTATATTTTTAAAAAGTATGTAAAAAGTATATTTTAAAAGTATGTAAAAAGTATATTTTAAAAAATATTTATTTGTGTTAAAAGTAAGTAAAATACAAATAAATTATTTTGTACATTTAAATAAATTGTTTTCTGATAATAAAAGAAACTTCAACTTAAAACACAAAAAAGATACTTTTAATATTAGAAAATAATTTATTTGGGTTTATAAAATTATTTACTTGTATTTTATTTACTTTTAAAACAAGCAAATATTTATTAAGACACAGTTTTTACATTAAAAAAACTAATTTTCTTTTTGTGTGTATAGAAGTCATTTGCTTAATCTTATATATAGATCTTTAAATTAAAGAAATCATTCTGTTATCTAGAAATTCATAATTTTACAGCTTATTTTACAAATTTTTAAAAATATTACTTTATATTTATTACATATTTTCTAAAATCTAACAAATATTTTTTAAGTTAAGAAAGTATATTGTACTTAACAAAATATATTTCTTTGCTTTAAAGATTTTTTTTAGTGTAATAATTTCATTACTTCATTAATTTCATAATTATAAATAATTATATTTATTTTTTTCATATGTAATATTTATTGAAATATTTATATAATATTACTACTAATATTTATTTTTTGTTTACCATAGATATTGTATAAAATATTTATATAATATTTAAAAAAATTAATTTAAAATGAGTATTTATAAACATTTATCATTAATATTAATTATGTGCTGTTTAATATTTTAAATCTTGACAGTACAGTCAAGTTTATCTCCTTTAAAATGCATTTTCTTTCAATTTCAATATCTTACTTTTTAGTCAAGTTATGAAGGATTAAAGAGGATTTAAATTAAGGATTATAAAGGAATTAAAGAGCTGCACTATTAAACAGATGCAATAATAGTAAGGCAAGTATATTTTATCTTGCTCTATCTTATTGATTTACGAATGGTGTCCAATTATAAGAAGTTATTCCTTTCAGCGGATTCCTTCTCAGTTAGGAGACTCGAATCACTTCCTGCACTCGCCTCCTATCAAGTTCGATCTTTTTATCTCTTACTTCATATATTAAAGCTAGGAGCTATCTTTAATATGAACGCGCGCGCACTGACGGCAGCATCACATGCACGATCGGCGGCTTGGCTGCCGTACTTCAAGCAGTAATCATTGACCTAAATTTTCTCTAATTTTGAACACTGAATTAAAAAATTTTGAGTTTTGTTGTGAAGAAAGTTATGTGAAATTTAAAAAAAGAAAAATGTATCTGTTACATACTTTGGACAGCATAAAATGCGAAAAGATCTCTTTTTAAGTTGTTTTTTTCGACAAAGCGAAAAGATATCGAAAAGACAACTTGTCTATGTGCGTGTGTGTGTGTGTATACCATCATTATTTGAAGTAAGTTTAGCGTTACCCATCCTGTACTACGTGAAAGTATCACTTTAACACAGGATTTATCCAATCTTATGGGAGCAAGTTCCTACGTCATGAACAAACAATAAAAAGACAATATATGAAATCTAGAAGTAATAAAGAAGTAATAAAATAAAAATAGTAACATAGGATACCTTTATGAAGAATACAAAAGTATTTTATAATATAATAAAAATCAAATAACAAAAAAAGAATATTTGTTAAATAATAAAAAATAAGAATTAATCTTGAGATCCGACAGCTAAGCCGCCGAATCGTGCGTGTGATGCTACTTCCAAAGCGCGCGCGTCCATATTAGAGAGAGAAATAACTCCTAGCTTTAATTCTTCATAACATGATTAAAAAGTAAAATATTAAAATTTATAAAAAATGCATTTTAAAGGGAATGAACAATACAGTCATGATTTCTAATCAGAATTTCAAGATAACGTTACTCTTTCTTACAAAACAATATCAATATCGCAATAAAACCATTTTTACATTAAACTTCTTACATATTAACCTCAATTATTATGGAAACCTGTCGTGCTGGTGAAATTTGATTTGCGGAATCGTTTCTGGCATCCAAAAATCTATAAAAAACACTTTATCTAATTTCAAATAATTAAAAAAAAATTTTTTGTAAACTAGTGTTATTAATACTCCAGAAAAACCTGGCTTTTTTGCGACCAACATTGTAATTAAGTTTTTTACTTGCACTATATGATCCCAAAAGAGACTTCCACAATTATAACATTTGCTGTTGGTCGTAAAGAAAACCTGATTCTTCTAGAATGTCAATGACTAAAAAGCACACTAATAACTGGATGATTTATCTTATGTTGATTTGCCACTGTGGAAATGGTGTTCATTCTTATTGTTTATTATTAATAACCACTTACCCGCATGTTTGTTTATACTCAGTGACAAATAAGTGGAATAAGTTATTTCGGGTTATTTAGTCGCGGCAACAGGTTGAAACTCAGGTTCGGTCGTTTTCGCCTCGAGTGCTTGTTCAGGTACCAATGCATTAGATTTCGTGCGTTTAATCTAATTTTCTGACAGGGAATCGGTCATGGAGTTGATTTCGGGTTTCGCATTCGTCGTCGCTTGTGTTTTCATGAGAATCCGCTCTCGATGTACAGCATCCGGTATACAGGATCTCCTATTCGTATGTAGTTCCACGTACGCTACGGGAGGATTAACGTAGTTGGCATACGAATCACGATATAGTCGCGACTGTTAACACTAACGTAAACGCTCTCGTTGGTATGGCGTCGGGCATTCGCGGGTTCCGTTGTATTCGGCGCATCTCAAATGGTAGGGGATTTACCGCTTCGCTTTTGAATTTACCAACGACGTTCTGATCGACATTGACGTTCACGTCGCGGCTGGCGTTCACGCGCTTATTAAGGAGACTATAGGGTATTACCTCTAGCTTTTATGGTGCAGCATCTTCTTTAACGAAGGTCTTCTATCGGAAGTTTTGTTTGCGGACAGGGGATTGACATCGAAGCGGGTGGTCGCACGGCTTGCAAATACTATTATATGTTTAAGCTTCAAGGTGCTATCGACATTCACGTTTACTGCCTTGTTCGCAGTCTTGTTTGCCAGCGTGTCTGATAAAATCTATCAGACAAACTTCGATTTGAAACCTTACATCCTTCCGCGTTCCGTCTTTTAGCCTGCACATCAGCGATTTTATTGTCCGATTTTATTGCCAACCCGGAACGTGAAATACTGCTTAATATCGAGTTCCCTGACGGCCCCTGCGGAGTTATTGACGGTTTAAGTGGCTCATTCCTGACTGATTGAATGTAGGCTGCTCATTTTGCGATACTGATATCCCGGCTATGATCGATATTAACGTTGGAATTTAAGGTGGCATGCGCGTTAGCGCGTTATAATGCTGCGTTGCTTCCACAAGTCATTGGAGATGACGTCATTTTCGGTTTTACCGTTTAATAATAGCGTTTAATAATTTCATGCTGTCCGTCGCAGACGCGATGAAATTTTCCATGTTTAAGCATGCAGTTCAATAAATGTCGTATCATTGTAATTACAGTTTACTTTGCTATATTTGATACATTATTTTTCATTGCTCGTCGAGTGAGATGTTCAGATCTGCTCGATATGCTGCATTTGATAAGCGTATAGTTTACGGATAAGCGTATAGTTTAGTAGCGGATTCTGGTTAACAGATTCATTAAACATTTCTAAAGTATTCTAGTTATACAGGGTGTTCAAAAAGTCCCGGACCGGTGAAATATCTCGAAAACTAAGCATTTTAGAAAAAAATGTTTCAGATAAAAGTTGTGGCGTTTAAAAAGATGTATTTACTGATCACATCAGTTTGACCTTG